CACCTGCTGCTTTTTATAGTGCTTATACACCTGATTGGTGTGTCTACAATTAAGCAAACGAGTGTTTGCACACCTGATGACTGTGTTGAACCAATTGGTTGGACGGTGTGGTAATTTGACAGTCAGTGCTTTGGTATTGCAAGGACGTGACTTCATGATAGATTTTTGTGTGTAATGTATGTTAAGTGTGTTTAGTGTTTTGCAAATCACTGTGTGTAGAGTTTTGCAACAAGTGTAAGGTTGACAATGTGCTTATAGTTGTGCAAATATGGGCTGATGTTTTGCTTCTTGTGTGTAAGGTTTTGCTAATAGTGTACTACTTTTAATTTTAGTGTGTAAGCAATCCAAAAAAACTGTAAACCCAGCTTCATCCATGTAGATGTATTGATGGGGTCTTTCCATTGCATCCAGTTGAAAAACCCTCTGTAGAAATAGATATAGTTTTGTAAGTGATACGGAAAAAGTGATTTAGGCCACTACAGTAAATCACTACTTAGAGTAATCAACATTGAATGTGTCTGGATATATGCCAACCTGTACATACTGGAATCTTTGCTCTTTGACTCTGTCTGAGTTGCGATCAAAGGGCACTCTGTATAGCTGTTTCATGCGCAGTCTGTTGCGCTTGAGGACACGATCAACAGTAGAGAGGCTGACACTGTTTGTCACGATAGTCTAATGAGGAGGACCAATGCGCAGCGTTGAAGGTGAACATATTATATTTATTAAATGATCACACGATCAAAACAATAAACAACGATGCGTGACGTCTATGGTTACAACACGAACAAGATCCCACAAAGAATAGCTGAAAACAGCCTACCTAAGTATGGCTCCCAATCAGAGACAACGAGCAACAGCTGCCTCTGATTGGGAACCACCCTGACCAACATAGATCTATATGATCTAGAACAAAACCCAAAACATAGAAAACACAACATAGAAGCTACCCCGTGAAACTAAACATAGAAAATCCACACCCTGGCTCAACATTTCAGAGTCCCCAGAGCCAGGGCGTGACAGTACCCCCCCCCCCAAAGGCGCAGACTCCGACCGCGCCAACAGAACACCACAGGGGAGGGACCGGGTGGGCACTCCGCCTTGGCGGCGGATCCGGCTCTGGGCATGATCCCCACTCCCTCTCTAACCCCCCACAGTACCCCTGGTCCGGTCTGGCCCTGCTGGCCGGAGCTGGACTGAACACTGGTGGAGCGGATTGCTCTAGCTCCGACGTGAAGCATCTGACCGGTGCCGGACCAGCCACCGGTGGAACAGGCACGGGCCGTGCCGGACTGACGACGCACACCACTGGCTTGGTGTGGGGAGCAGGAGCGGGCCGAGCCGGGCTGTCGAAGCGCACCCCTGACTTGGTGCGGGGAACAGGCACGGGCCGTGCCGGACTGACGACGCACACCACTGGCTTGGTGTGGGGAGCAGGAGCGGGCCGAGCCGGGCTGTCGAAGCGCACCCCTGACTTGGTGCGGGGAGCAGGAACGGGCCGAGCCGGGCTGACGAAGCGCACCACTGACTTGGTGCGGGGAGCAGGAACGGGCCGAGCCGGGCTGACGAAGCGCACCACTGACTTGGTGCGGGGAGCAGGAACGGGCCGCGCCGGGCTGACGAAACGCACCACTGACTTGGTGCGAGTGGCAGGAACAGGCCGGACCGTACTGGGAACACACACCACTGGCCCTACGTGGGGATCAGGAACAGGCCGGACCGGACTGGCAACACACGCCAGTACCTCTCGCCGTGCCTCTACAACCTCCTTCCCCCTGGTGACCAGTGACTCCCGTAACCTGGCGTCCTCCTGCTGCCCTGTCATCCACGGCGTTAGCCCCCCCCTAAAAAAATTATGGGCTTCACTCCTACCCGTGGCCAAGGCCTCCATCCCTCTTGCCAGTCTCGCACTCATCTTCTCCCACGTCCATCCTCTCTCCTCGTCACGCTGCTTGATCCAGTCGAGGTGGGATTTTCTGTCACGATCGTCTAATGAGGAGGACCAATGCGCAGCGTTGAAGGTGAACATATTATATTTATTAAATGATCACACGATCAAAACAATAAACAACGATGCGTGACGTCTATGGTTACAACACAAACCAACACAAACAAGATCCCACAAAGAATAGCTGAAAACAGCCTACCTAAGTATGGCTCCCAATCAGAGACAACGAGCAACAGCTGCCTCTGATTGGGAACCACCCTGACCAACATAGATCTATATGATCTAGAACAAAACCCAAAACATAGAAAACACAACATAGAAGCTACCCCGTGAAACTAAACATAGAAAATCCACACCCTGGCTCAACATTTCAGAGTCCCCAGAGCCAGGGCGTGACACTGTTGATACCCTCAAAATGTAAATGGTCCTCAATGATCTTCTGCTGAATTTCGCTCAGTTTAATGGCATTGTTCTCACGGACCATATCAACAATTAGGGTCTCTTGGTGTGGGGAGAACATACCTGTCCTCCCACCCCCATGTGGCAGTCTTTCAATTCTACAAAAAGAGAACATGGAGTTACAAAAAATATACATGGAATACTAGGCCTACAAACAGTTAGACCAACCCTCCATTACAATACTACAGTACATTGGTACAGTGATGTACTGAAACATATATTTACTTACAGTATACTGTGGTACAGTATATAGTATGTCATACAGTAATTGCTGTCAACATTTACATACTGTACTATAATGTCAAAAAAAGGTAATTACCTGTTCTCTTCTCTAAATCTTCGGATTATGGTGGACACAGTGAATCTACTGATGTTTGGTTGTACCCTTTGTCCAGCCTCCCTCATGCTCATACCATGGACAAGAACATAGTCAATCACAGTAGCTCTGATTTCATCAGATATTACTGTTCTTTGTCTTCGCTGACCACCTCGACCACCTCGACCTCCTCTCACACGAACTCTTCCTCTTAGATTTCTATCCATTGTAGGGCCTCACAAACCAGTGCTCTCTGAACTGGCTTACTGTATATGTTCCCTCACATCATTAGCCACAAGTGTGATCAATTTTGAGTTGTTGTTTTCAAGTGGTGACACCTGTGCTCTAATTGTGTTTGACGTTTGTCACCTGTGCTCACCATTATGCAGCACGGGTGCATCACAATGAAAATGTGTTGGCAAGTTATGTCTAAACAGGTGAAAAGTGCTTATGGTTTCGCCAAAAGAGTGATTGATTCAATCAGTGGGTTCAGGCAACTGAGCAATTGGTTCAGACAATAGGGTTTAGTGTTTTAGCAATTGAGAAAAACTGTAATATGTTGTGAAATCTGTTATGAATGTATTGTAATGTTTTTAAAATGTATAACTGCCTTCATTTTGCTGGACCCCAGGAAGAGTAGCTGCTGCCTTGGCAGGAACTAATGGGGATCCATAATAAATACTAAATACATACACACACCAGTAGACAGCTCTGCATCTGCACCCAATGCACCTCCATGTAACACACACACTATGAATTGATTTACTAGTGCACTGCTCTACCAGAACTTTTAGACCAGTGTGTGTTGTTAGACCAGTGTGTGTTGTTAGACCAGTATTTGTTGTTAGACCAGTGTGTGTAGTTATACCACTATGTGTGTTAGACCAGTGTGTGTTGTTAGACAAGTTTGTGTCGTTAGACCAGTGTGTGTCGTTAGACCAGTGTGTGTGTTAGACCAGTGTGTGTTGTTAGACCAGTGTGTGTGTTAGACAAGTGTGTGTTGTTAGACCAGTGTGTGTAGTTATACCACTATGTGTGTTAGACCAGTATGTGTGTTAGACCAGTGTGTGTTGTTAGACCAGTATGTGTGTTGTTAGACCAGTGTGTGTGTGTTAGACCAGTGTGTGTTGTTAGACCAGTGTGTGTGTGTGTTAGACCAGTGTGTGTGTTAGACCAGTGTGTGTTGTTAGACCAGTGTGTGTGTTAGACCAATGTGTGTTGTTAGACCAGTATGTGTATTGTTAGACCAGTGTGTGTGTTAGACCAGTGTGTGTGTTAGACCAGTGTGTGTTGTTAGACCAGTATGTGTGTTGTTAGACCAGTGTGTGTTGTTAGACCAGTGTGTGTGTTAGACCAGTATGTGTGTTAGACCAGTGTGTGTTGTTAGACCAGTATGTGTGTTAGACCAGTGTGTGTTGTTAGACCAGTATGTGTGTTGTTAGACCAGTGTGTGTTGTTAGACCAGTGTGTGTGTGTTAGACCAGTATGTGTGTTAGACCAGTGTGTGTTGTTAGACCAGTATGTGTGTTGTTAGACCAGTGTGTGTTGTTAGACCAGTGTGTGTGTGTTAGACCAGTATGTGTGTTAGACCAGTGTGTGTTGTTAGACCAGTATGTGTGTTGTTAGACCAGTGTGTGTTGTTAGACCAGTGTGTGTGTGTTAGACCAGTATGTGTGTTGTTAGACCAGTGTGTGTTGTTAGACCAGTATGTGTGTTAGACCAGTATGTGTGTTAGACCAGTGTGTGTTGTTAGACCAGTGTGTGTTTTAGACCAGTGTGTGTTGTTAGACCAGTGTGTGTGTTAGACCAGTATGTGTGTTAGACCAGTATGTGTGTTAGACCAGTGTGTGTTGTTAGACCAGTGTGTGTGTTAGACCATTGTGTGTTGTTAGACCAGTGTGTGTGTTAGACCAGTATGTGTGTTAGACCAGTGTGTGTCGTTAGACCAGTATGTGTCGTTAGACCAGTATGTGTTGTTAGACCAGTGTGTGTGTTAGACCAGTGTGTGTGTTAGACCAGTGTGTGTGTTAGACCAGTGTGTGTGTTAGACCAGTGTGTGTGTTAGACCAGTGTGTGTGTTAAACCAGTGTGTGTGTTAGACCAGTGTGTGTGTTAGACCAGTATGTGTGTTAGACCAGTGTGTGTGTTAGACCAGTGTGTGTTGTTAAACCAGTATGTGTTCCTGGCCTCCCTCTAAAGGTGATGGCTGTAGCAGGGCTGGACTCCAGCAGAGCCCACCGTCTCTCCCCCTCCCGCTCCACCCGCTCCTGGGCCAGTCCACCCACCACTTCGGCCAGTAAGGAGCAGTCGCCCAACTACACACCCCTCATCCGGGTGGATCACCCCGGACGCAGGTATATATACATTGTTCTGTATGTACAACCCCGATGAAGGCTACAGGCCCAAACACCTTGGTTTTAATAACGAGAGATATTTATAGTGTGACTGTAATGTGGGAGTTTTATTTTGAGATCTGTTATTCTGGCTCTTGGGGCAAGAGCAAGGGTTGATGGATAATGCTTCAGTCTTGAGTTTGGAGTGGTTGCAGGAGCCACGCTGCATGTCTCACTATTATTATTTTGTCACTAGGAAGTTGTGTAGCACTCAGATATTAAACATTGAGTCTTACACTGAGTCACACTGTCCCTGGTTCCTCATTCTTATCATTGGCCCTCCATTGTCCTCCAAGAGTGTCTGAATCTCCTCTTCTCTTCAGGGAGAGTGCCGCCAGCAGCCAGGTGTCTCTGAGGAAGAGCTCTTGGTACACAGACGACCCAGAGTACTCCCAGAGGACCTACTCCCCCATCCATCTCCAGGTGCCCCCAGAGTACCAGATTAATATAGAGGCGAAAGAAACGCACACTGAGTACCGCCAGCAGCACCATCAGAAGAGCGCCACTAGCTTGGTGGAGGCGGTGAGTCCAGGGCAGGGCATGGGAGGGTGGGTTGGTGGCCTTCAGGCTTGAACCAGTGGACTAGCGGACCGGACCATGGCTGAAGTCATTTAAATTTAAATTAATTCAAGTCAGGAATTGAACTTACATGAAAATATAATTGGTTGAAATTAAATGGAATTGACCTTAGTGTAGGGGGAAATGTGCTCTTGAGTTGGTACAGTGCATTCGGAAAGTATTCAGACCCCTTCACTTTTTCCATATTTTGTTACGTTACAGCCATATTCTAAAATGGATTCAATTATTTAAAACGGAAATATCACATTTACATAAGTATTCAGACCCTTTACTCAGTACATTGTTGAAGCGCCTTTGGCAGCGATTACAGCCTCTACTCTTTTTGGGAATGATGCTCAAGCTTGGCACACCTGTATTTGGGGAGTTTCTCCCATTCTTCTCTGCAGATCCTCTCAAGGTCTGTCAGGTTGGATGGGGAGCGTCGCTGCACAGCTATTTTCAGGTCTCTCCAGAGATGTTCGATCGGGTTCAAGTCCGGGCTCTAACTGGGCCACTCAAGAACACAAAAATGTATGCACGCATGACTGTAAGTCGCTTTGGATAAAAGCGTCTGCTAAATGGCATATTATTATTATTATTATAACATTCAGAGACTTGTCCTGAAGCCACTCCTGCGTTGTCTTGGATGTGTGCTTAGGGTCGTTGTTCTATTGGAAGGTGAACCTTCGCCCCAGTCTGAGGTCCTGAGCAGGTTTTCATCAAGGATCTCTCTTGCTCCGTTTATCTTTCCCTCCATCCTGACTAGTCTCCCAGTGCCTGCCGCTGAAAGATATCCTTCATCGTAGGGATGGTATTGGCCAGGTGATGAACTGTGCCTGGTTTCCTCCAGATGTGACGCTTGGCATCCAGGCCAAAGAGTTCAATCTTGGTTTCATCAGACCAGAGAATCGTGTTTCTCATGGTCTGAGAGTCCTTTAGGTGCGTTTTAGCAAACTCCAAGCGGGCTGTCATGTGCCTTTTACTGAGGAGTGGCTTCTGTCTGGCCACTCTACCATAAAGGCCTGATTGGTGGAGTGCTGCAGAGATGGTTGTCCTTCTGGAAGGTTCTCTTATCTCTACAGAGGAACTCTGGAGCTCTGTCAGAGTGACCATCGGGTTCTTGGTCACCTCCCTGACCAAGGCACTTTTCCCCCGATTGCTCAGTTTGGCCGGGCGGCCATCTCTAAGAAGAGTCTTGGTGGTTCCAAACTTCTTCCATTTAAGAATGATGGAGGCCACTGTGTTCTTGGGGACCTTCAATGCTGCATACATGTTTGGTACCCTTCCCCAGATCTTTGCCTTGACACAATCCTGTCTCGACACAATCCATCGACCTCATGGCTTGGTTTTTGCTCTGACATGCACTGTGAACTGTGGGACATTATATAGACAGGTGTGTGCCTTTCCAAATCATGTCCAATCAATTGAATTGTTGTAGAAGTTGTAGAAACATTACAAGGTTGATCAATGGAAACAGGATGCACCTGAGCTCAATGTTTTAGTCTCATAGCAAAGGGTCTGAATACTTATGTAAATGTTATATTAATGTTTTTATATATATATACATTTGCACATATTTCTAAAAAACAGTTTTTGCTTTGTCATTATGGGGTATTGTGTGGAGATTGATGAGGGAAAAAATGTGAATCCATTTTAGAATAAGGCTGTCACGTAACAAAATGTGGAAAAAGTGAAGGGGTCTGCACTGTATATGGAAGTCATTAGTAGGCTATCATGTTAGTGAGTACAGTATATTACAGCTAGCCAGGGAGCGCATTACAGGAATGGCCACAGGTGTAGATGGTTTGAACACTCAAAGTCATTGAATTTCAGATTTGCAAACATGCTTTATTGCTATTAAAAGTAACTTAAATGAGCCACGTAAACACAATGTGGTCTATTTTCTCCTGTCGCCGGGCAGGTGTTGATATCAGAGGGGCTCGGAAGATACGCCATGGATCCAAAGTTCGTGGCCGCCACCAAGCACGAGATAGCGGACGCGTGCGAGATGACCATCGACGAGATGGAGAGCGCGGCCAGCCACCTGCTGAACGGTGGCATGGCGCCGGCGGTTAACGGGGTCAACGTGTACCCTGTCATGAGCGAGCGGAACTACGACCTCCAAGACGCCACAGCCAGTTATAGTGACGAGGAGCCGGAGGTGGAGCTTAGAGTGCCGTACGAGGAGGACCTGGCAGACGAGATGATCTGCATCACCACTTTATAGCAACGTAGAAACTAACTACTAGCTGTATGTACTCTACTTAATATAGACTACAGTACCGACAGTGGAAAACTCAATGAGAAATGCATCTATTGGCTTACAACCAAAAGAAGTGCCTTTTACATGGAAGAGAAAGGTAACCTATGAGGAGAGAGAGACACACTGGCCCCGCCCACTTATTCTGTCACTTGCCCTCTGCCAGCCAGGGAATTCACGTCACGTCTGTCAATCACAGGGCCAGGAACCAATCCTGGTGCCAGGGAACCATGTTAGTTCCGTCCTCCCAGATCAGCACTACTGGCACATAGTGGACCATGCCCATAGGTCATAGGTCACGGTCTGGAGGTGACACAGGCTCATCAACGAGCCAGTCGCAGATGAGGACATGGAGTGTCCGTGGAGGAGATGGACCTATTGGCAGATGCGTGAGGTACCGGGCCGGGTCGTTAAGGGTGTTGACAATCAGATGCAAGATGTCATTCCCTCTGTCACTTTATTAAGGTTTTGGCATATCATGCAAGTTTTCAATGCAAGCATAGAAAGGCATATCTCCCCCACCTAACCCCCCTCAGATGTTTTAGTATAACTTTGATCCTGGAATAATTTCCATAAATAATTAAAAGATTGCTGTAGATGGAACTCTATGCGGAGCAAAAGATTAACCAGTTTACGTATGCAGGAGATATCAGTCACATTTATAGCATCATCAAACCAGAATTATACACTGGGTGGTTCGAGCCCTGAATGCTGATTGGCTGACAGCCGTGGTATATCACACCGTTGCATCGTCCCTAAGAACAGGCCTTAGCCGTGGTAGATTTGCCATATACCAACTCCCCCTCGTGCGTTATTGCTTAAATATACACTTCTGAGGCGACTACTAGCGTTTGGGATAAATGCACTAGCAGGCAGGTTGTTTTTAATTTTAGAATAGCCTGAGAATTCATATTTCATAGTAGATATACTGTAAATGAATTGTATTATATAAACAAAAATAAACTTTGTAAAGAGATGTTCTATATTTTGTAATTATGTACCATTTCAAAAGAAGGTCAGCAATACACACCCTAATGAATCCTATTATGCTACCAGGAAAGAAGATCGCTGGTGTTATTATTTTATTAGGTACAATATTCTGAGATGAATTGGCCTTTTCTTTGTTATTGCTCATATGCATCCTTGACTGGTCTGTGAAACCATTTTGTTCTTGGTGTAACAACACAGCTGCACAAGATATGCAAATGTATTTGTTATTTTACTTGTTTTATGAGCGAGCATAAGAACACTATGTTTTACTCCAACCACACCAATACCAGTACCACAACGTTAAATCCCCCCTTATTAAGAGCATCTTTGTAGGACTTGAACTTAGCTACGGCTCAAGGATCTACTCTACCTTAATAAAGATGTGATGATAAACATTTGTGTTTGCATATGTTGTGCAGGGCAGGTGTACAGCACAGGAAGGTCAAATGTCTAGTGCATTGACAATGCTGCTTCATTCACCCATTTTGAAATTCATTCTACAACTTTATTAGTTTCATCTATCCCAACTGAAATGCCTTCTGCTGCTGAAAGAAAACTATATGATCAAAGAAGTGAGATGAACAGGAATCTCTGTCGTTCTCGATGCTTGTATTGGGATTTTTCCTCAATATATGATTTATATAAGTTAATTCCACTGATCCTTTCAAACTGAATCTTCCTAATCACTTGGCCTTCATGTTGTTGCTGTGTGTGAGGCGTTTGACAGACTGAGCCTGTGTGAGCTAGGATAGATAGGAGTTGCATGGTGGCTGACTGGTGAGGCAGGTATTCATCGCGGATGTTCACAGGGCAGATGAGCCCATGATGAGGCATCATAGTCACGGTGGGTCCACAGTCTCTACCATTGTTCTCTTTTTCTGTTGTGTTGTCGTGTCTTATTGGGTCTGATGTGTTTAAGATGGAGATAGGCTAAGCAATACTAACCCTCACTCTCTCAGCATCTCTCTCTCTGGCTTCTCTCTGCATATACTATACCTCGTGGTGGTCCAACACCGTCTGGGGAAAACATATCAGCCTCTCTCTCAACCAACCAGTCTCTTTCCCACAGCGAGCTTCTCCTTCCAATGAGAAGGGAGCGTTTGTACTACGGCTCATCTTTACGAGAACGCCACTCTTGTTGCTATTGAGGAAAAATGAATGCGCCACAAAATTACTTTACACAAACAGACAAAATATAGACTATGAAGGATCGCGCTTTTTTCAGGCGCTGCCCTGGAGATTTTGAATAAGTACAGATGATGGGTAGGTGATGAGACGTGGGATCTGTAGTTCATGAGTGTTTGATTTGCAGTTCATGAGTTCGCACTGCGTTCTCAGTCAACCGAATACTGTCGTGAAAATGTAGGTTTTCCACTTTGTGTGCATATTGAAAGGGCTCTTTGAATCGTTTGTGAGTTTTAAAAAAATGTGTTCTGGTCTTTCTGTTGATAACTATCTTGTGAAAGGACCAATGCGAATTCCAGTCACATTGTACTATTCGTAGCAATTACTGATAAACTGAAAATATGCATTATTTTGTAAACACTTGTGTTAAACTAAAGATAAAACCAACTTACTTTTACCTCATGTCAGGGATTCCTGAAAAAAGAAAAGAGACCATTATTTGGTTCTATACCAATGGTATTTCAATATTAGCACATAGCTGTTTGTCTTTGCACAAGTAACTGTATAGTACTATTGTTTCTCATTTTTTCTATACAAATGTTTGTGTATTAAGGTGAGACAATTTTGTACTTTTTTGTGACTGTGTGTATGGTTTAGTGAAATCTATATTTGTCATTTACACCTCACCTTAGATTGCTGGGACAGAAAAAAATATGAAAGAAAATAATTTCAAGGTGCACTGTTCCTTTGTTTGCGGGTTAAAAATGGTAATGTACCAGTGGTAATATACCAGTTTACAGAGAAAGACTTGTTGATTTAAACATTTTGATTAGTTTTCATTCTATTATTATAATTATTATGATTACTATTACTACTATTACTGTTATTAAATATGTATTAAAATTGAAGAGATCATGTTAAATATGTACACATGTATGGAAAGACCCATGGTAATGTTCTCTACTTGAAAGTCCAAAAGATTAGCTCTGTAATGTTTTTATTCAGTAAACATGATTTATCTTAGTAGCAAATGCTTTATTATGACCCTCTAGTTTTTTTTATCAATACATTTTTTGTATTTTCCCATTTTATTTTGGCCTTGAATTCATTTGAATCGATATTTTATTTTCTAATGATTATTACTGAATAAACTTACACTGAAATTCTGCACTGTCTGTTCTTTATTGGTGCTTTGTTTGAGATATCATACATTTAATGTAACATTTTCATCGTCTTTAACATTTACCATAAAGTAACAATACATTCTACAGTTAATATACATTATGTGACCTACTATAGGCAAAAAAAACAGGGTTGGGGTCAATTTGAATGGAATGCAGTCAATTCAGGAAGGTAAACTGAAATTCCAATTAAATCATTTAAAAAAATACCATATTTTCAATGACTTCTCAGTAAACTCAAAGTAAAATCTGTTTAAATTCAAATCACTTCCTGAATTGACTACCTTCCATTTGAATTGGTCCCAACCCTGTAAAATACACTGCAATCAGTCAGTTTCAAACCTCCTGTCTCTCACACCCTATTCTGAATGTAGTATTAAAATCACACTCTGTACCTTTTTTTGGTTATGATAAGGTAAGACAGTCATATAAATCACCTTATTAAGGTATGGTTAAGTCTTCCAAATTAAGAGGTATATTTATTTTTCTTTAAAGGCAGAGAACATATGAGTGACACTACTGGTGCTGCTGGTGCAATCAGTGGTTGGATGTATCTGTAAGTCTGTATGCGTTCAGCTGGGGGAGACTTTGTTGTTGATGGTTGCCATGGTGCCTGTGGTGGTCTGCATCTCTGACCCCTCCTCCCCAGAAGGCCCACAGCAGGGGTATCTCCAAAACTAGACAAGACACAACACCTTCATCACCGACTGTTACTGTCATGCATTTAGTTGTGTATCAAATGGCTTCAATGTTTATTAAATATTTATAACACAATTGTGCATGTTAAACAGCAGCTATTCAGTGGGGAAAATATGAATGAGAATAGGTAGCAGTGAGCCACTGCCCTCACTTGTGCTACCAGAAGACATTAGCACGAGCTAATCAAAACTGAAAACATTGCATTCTCATTGATGTCCACTAGATGGAGCCTGTGGAATGCCTACGAGTGTCTGGTTTGTGGTAAGGAGCATTGCAGTGGTCATTCTACAGATTAGTGTCTAAATGAATCTGCTATCACATGTATAGGCCTATTATCATACTTGAATTGTTTTGCTTCCTTTATCTGATTGTGTTTTCATTTTCACTGAACGTTCATCTATATATACACCTGATGATGAGTTGATGATGTGTGTGTTTACCTGTTTGTTCATGTAGAGTTAGATGAGAGAGTTGTACAGCCAGGGTGCTGCTCTTGGCCAGGTAGACTGTGCCCAGCAGAGGGCTGATGTGGGCATCAAGGTCAGGGACCACCAGGAGGGCCAGAGTAGCGTAGACAAGCCAGCGGATCAGGAACGTTACCACCATCAGAACCACCATGCGGGCCTTAGCCTCTGCCTTGGCTGCTGCACCACTTCTATTCAGCCCATTGTAGAGACCTGTCACAACACAGCAAGGTAGTGGAATATGGATACTACGGTATGTAAGACAGGTCTCACAAAATACATGACACAGACAATACTGGGTCGGAGTTCGCCCCCCTCCCCTAAAAATATTTAAAATGCGTCAACCAGAAAGCCACAGTATAGACTACTGATTGGTGTCCATGGTGCTGAAATTGCGACATGTCTATGCGGCTACCTATGGAATCGTTTATATGCTTTCTGTGGTGCCAGGGCATGTATAGCTTTGCTTCAGCTAATGGATAAATGTTTATTGGTTTATTAAGCC